TCCTTTCCTTTCCTTTCCTTTCCTTTCCTTTCCTTTCCTTTCCTTTCCTTTCCTTTCCTTTCTCTTTTCTTTTGCTTTACAAAACTGACTCTGAATTTTTACTCAGTTTTCCTTTGATAGAACCACCGTGCACCCTTGTGAGAAACATGGAGAAAGAAGCAGGAAATGCAAATCTTCCTTTGACCGTGGAGTTGACTAAGTGGCCTGAGATAGTCACTGTCTCTCAGCCTGGCCTACCCCTCAGGGGTGTTGTGTTAAGGATAAGATGCAGAGAACCCCCTGCGTAGCTGCTAAGCTCTCAGTGGAAATATGGCATAGGACAGTCATAGAAATTAGAGATAAATGCTTCAGATGAGAAAGGCTGCCCACTGTCAACTCCTGAAATGCAAAGTGGCAGGAAAAAAAAAAAAGACTCAGCGTTGCAGATGTAAATTATGGGCAGGGGAGAAGAAAAAGCACTCTGCACACAGTCAGAAACTGCTATTATTATTATTATTATTAGTAGTAGTAGTAGTAGTAATTAAATTTAAATTCTGCCCAACTCCCAGTGACTGTGCAGTTTACAAGAGTTAAAACATTTAAACACAAAGAACAATTCAAAAAAACACAAAAGGCCCCCAAAATTAGACTCAGAGGTTGAGTCCCCAAACGTTTAGGAAGAAAATAAAAAATTAGGGTCTTAGACAGCGATATCTTAATAAAATATGGTGAAAGAAGAAAGTATCCAGGATAGCTGCAAAAATTATCTACTTTAGCCCGTCTTTTGACAAAGACGTACTACAACATAATACAGTGAATCCCTGAAATAAAAAAGGCATTTTTTCCAACTCCCCTGTGCCATCTTTCGGTATTTCTCCACCAAAAGGCAGTAAATGAGGGATGGACCCCAGGGTATGGTCAAAAAAGTCAAGATGGCCACGATCATGTGACCGAAGAGTTGCCATTTTTTCCCGTATCTCGCATAAAAGAAGGCAGCGCTTCAATTACTCCGTTGCAGGTCTCATCTCGACCTTCTGACCCCTCAGAAAAGAGTGGGGACCCCCTGCCTTAAATATAAAAACATCTGGCCAGCCAGGCATCTGTTAATAAGAAGAGCAGCGGCCTTAAGCCAAGGCTGCGGAAATTTGATCCTCTGCTTTATTTTATGTTCTCAAAGCCCTTTCAAGGCGTTGGAAGTGAAAAAGTGAGATGGAATTTATTTGGGTTCTGTTGATTATTTGACTTCAAAATAAATCCGTCTGTTTTAATCTGGCAAAGGGGAGGAAGCTAACGTCCACCACTCACACCGGGCACATTTTTATTCCTTTTCCGGGGGGGGGCAGGACGAGCTGAGAAAGATCATCACGACCCTTGCAGTGAAGAATGAGGAGATCCAAAATTTCATCTACTTGCTCAAGCAGATGCTTCAAAATGTGGAGGTAACAGGGCTGGCGAAGGGGCAAAGATGGGAATTCCTTAGAATGGTTGATCCAGGTGGAGGGGAGGCACCAGGTCTCACCTGGGTGCCCCGGAGACGGTTTTTACTTGAAAGCACCATGGGTGGTGGAATCTGTGTTCTTGATTCCCAGAATTTTTTTTTTAAAAAAACCACAATCTGGACTGGCCACTCAGTCATTAAGCGAAGCGGTCACTAAATGAATCCATGACGGTCCCTACTATCTGACTTTACCTTTCCTTTGCTTTACAGACCTGCAAAGGTTGTCAATGCGAGGATGAGTTGTAAAGTTACTTTTTCATCACCATCGTAACTGTGAACGGTCGCTGAATGAGGCAGTAGCTAAACGAGGAAGCCCTGTAATGCGACTATTTTGTGGGATTCATTAACCGCACTAATCAAGCCCTAGCTGTATTCCTTACCAACAACGGCAGAAAGGCCAGCAGCAGCAGTACCCTCTGCTCTTGGCTGATATTGGACACTTACCAGCAGAAAACAGGCCTCCAATGGGCTGAGTGGCTGGTTTTTTGCTGGCAAGCAAGGAACAAGATGCAGGAACTATGCACTATGCAAAAAACCTGCAGGCATATAGAAGAAGGGGCTGCACAGTGATGGCCCTTTGGGGTGGGGTTTGCCGTGTCCCACTTAAGACACCCCTGCCCTAAATGCAGAATTTTAGCAGCACTCACACAATAATGCAGTTCCTTTCCAAACCTGTTCTAATTTCGACTGGTTTGTTTTCCTTATTGCAAAAAAATCGACGTAAGGAGAAAACATTCTTAGGGGATTTTCAGCAGTAGCCCCCTAGTATTGCATACAGTGGGTCGTTTTAAACTGGCAGCTCTGTATAAATCAGCCGAAACGCATCTTTGCAAAGCTGTGGCCCCCTTTTGTCCTTTTATGGGGTGTGGGAGATGCTATGGGTCCATTCTAAGCCAGCCAGGGTGGCTGGGGAATTCTGGGAGTTGAAGTCCACCCATCTCCACCTTGCCGAGGTGGAGAAACACCAGACTAGATGACCTCTAAGCCCCCTTCCCATCTATGCACTCCGTGGTTCTGTGAATGAAGCCAGGGATTCTCAAACTGTGGGTCAGGGTCCCCCCTCTTTCCAGGGGTTTTGAGCAACTTAGAAGGAGGAACTATGTGTGGGCAGAGCAGGAACCCCCTCAAAACCCACTTTTGCTCCTTGTTGCCCACTTGAACTCACAGTGGGCCGTTGCGATGTAGCCGGGATGGAAAACCCTGTGAGCGAATGATGAAAATCTAGTTACTGAAAAGCATTGGCTTGTGTCTTTCCTGCCCATCCCATCCCAACCCTACCCAAATCATTAATTTTATTCCCGGAAAGGAGTCGTAAAAATTCGTGTTGGCGAATTTATTTTAGAGGATCACAGGGCCACAGATTGGGAGAGTGCTGGAGTGCGCTCCCTTTCTGGGTTCACGGAATTGTTCAGCCTGTGCATTTACCGAAGAGGTGGGGTTCAGATGGGGTTTCTCCCGAGCACCCACAAACACCCCGGATTTGGCACGCTGGGTCACCGAGGAGGGAGCCTCCAGCTCCCCAACCCTGTCAGGCCAGAAATATTTCCAGTTTCATCTCCTTCCTTCTGCCTCCTCCCACCAGACCAATTCGGATCGGGTCCAAGAAGACCTGGAGGCCGAGTTCCAGTCCCTCTACGTCCTGCTGGATGAGCTCAAGGAAGGGATGCTGATGAAGATCAAACAAGATCGGGCCAGCCGGACGTACGAACTGCAGGTAAGCCTGCTCTGCTGGAAAGAGCCGCCGGGCATCACCGGTCTCAAGAGCGGTGGCTGGGAAGGGGATCCATAGATCTGGACTGGCTGGGGCATTCTGGGCGTGGAGGTCCACCCCTCTTGAAGTGGCTAAGGTTGGAAAACACCCTCGGCCCCAAGAACGGTGGCTTAAGGTAGACTGCGTTTGAACATGGATGCTCAACTGAGCCATCGCCTAGGGCTGCCCGAGGTTTGAGCGTTCTGCGCCTCTTTGCTGAGACCTAGTGGCCACCTGGCTATTTGCAGCCAAGAGGTAGCCCTCGTGCGATTGCTACGAGAGGCCTGGATTTATCTTCCCCCAGGAATTAGGCATCTCCTTCCCTTTCCAACCTATCTGAGTTTGTGGCTCTCTCCATCTCGTGCCGGTGAGCTCCTCTGGGCGAGAACGCAGGGCGCCGGTTGGTAACCTCACCCCGGACCTCTCAGCCAGCCTGTGCCCTTTATCCCCTCCCTGCAGGGGGATTCTGGCTGAATCGAAATCCGGATTGAAAAATAGCATGAATTTATATGTCCTTCCGTTTCTTCGGGGCCAGAAAACGAAAATGGGGCCAGCAAAAGCTCTCCTCACCCCTTCTTTCAAATGTTTTTGCTAACATCCCTTTTGGGGGGGGGCTCTTCCCACTCGACTCTCTCACCCCAGAACCAGCTGGCGGCTTGCACGAAAGCCTTGGAAAGCTCAGAGGAACTTTTGGAAACCGCCAACCAGACCCTCCAGGGGGCTCAGAACCAGGATTTCAACCAGGTAAAGTAATTCCCAGCTGGCAATGCCTGTTGGGGTGTGTGTGGGTGGGTGGGTGTGTGTACGTGCGTGTGTGCAATTATAGAACAAAATCTGCAAGGGGTGCAAAGCCAGGTAAATATGGGCCAATAGGCTCCCCGAGTCGTATTTTTGCATCTCTCCAAACTGGCATGCTATAACTCCCTTCCCCCCCAGCAAGTTGGGGGCTGTGGATGATGGGTGCTACAATCCAACCCTTTTAGAGAGCATAGGCCCAAGCATCATTATGACCCCAGGCTTGGGTGGACCCCAGCCTGTGGCTCTCGTTGGGCGACATTTGGGTGGGTCATTTTAATTTTTTTAGTTCGCCCTCGCCTACCTCGCAGGGCTCTGGGGAGGATAAAAAGCAGAGGGGAGGCCGGTGGGTGGTGGGACTTGCACTCAGGTCCGGGGGGTTATTTTCCGTAAGCATGCACCGGATTGCAGCTTATCACGCTTCCTCGGGGCTTCCTGTCTAGAAATCTCTTGAAATAAGAAGATGCAATGACGCCCTTCTTTAATTCTTCTTTGTGACTCCTCCCTTGCTTTTTTCCCTTCTTACTTCCCTC